CCCCTTGAAGTGTTGGCTCTCCCACAAAAATACCACCGTGCGGGGCGGCGCACATACAAGTGCGATTGAAAACTTTCGTGGGCCCATGCGCAGGAAGTCGGTATTTTTGTGGAAGAGCCACACTCAAGGGGCCAAAGAGCCGCGTGTGGCTCGTGAGCCGCAGTTTGCCGACCACTGCCCTAGGATGCAGGTCCCTAGTATAGGGCACTGCTATTGGTACTGTGGTCCTGCTGCCCCATCCTGTCTTCTCTGGAGCATCCCTTCTCTAGGCTGGCTGAGGTGTCAGTTTCTGGCCAAGAGATGAACCAACTTTCTGAGAGTCCCATCTGGCTTCTTTGGTGCAGTTACTCTGGGATGGGAGTGGGCACTTGTCCCCATACTACTTTTGACTTTTCCTGTCCCCAAAATATGCTGGTCTAACTCAGCCTGTGGCTGCCGTTGGCTACCAGTCAGAAAGGAGGAGAGGGTTCTGTTCTTTGCTTGTTGGTGATAAAAACCTGTGATGCCCGATGCATGGCCTTAAATCAGTGATGGCGAACCTATGACGCACGTGTCAGAGGTGACACGCGAACTCATTTTTTTGGTTGATTTTTCTTTGTTAAATGGCATTTAAATATATAAAATAAATATCAAAAATATACATCTTTGTTTTACTATGGTTGCAAATATCAAAAAATTTCTATATGTGACACGGCACCAGAGTTAAGTTAGGGTTTTTCAAAATGCTGACACACCGAGCTCAAAAGGTTCGCCATCACTGGCCTAAATCATAGCAAGATTGAGCTGATTAATTTTTTCTAAGCCACCTGAGGGTTTTGGAGAACAGAGTGCGGGGCGGGGGTAAAGACAGGTCAAGGTGGCCCTTGCAGACTGACCTCATGACTTCTCATGGGTTACTGGTACCTACTGCCTTCGGGAAACCCATGCTTGACCTCTCTGAGTCTGGATCCCAGCCTTTACTTGGCTTTACTTCAGGGCCTTAGTCTTTCTCTGGCACACTGTTTGTTTGTATGTTTGTTTGTTTGTTTGCTTTTTAAATATATTTTCATTAATTTCAGAGAGGAAGGGAGAGAGAGATAGAAACATCAGCGATGAGAGAAAATCATTAATTGGCAACCCAGACACGTGCCTGACTGGAATCGAGCCGTGACCTCCACAGGTCACAGGTCAACATTCAAAAGTGGCACACAGTTTTAGTATCAGTACAATGCGGGTAGTTGCCAACTAGCACTGTGTGGCCTCTGGAGGCTCCCTGCCTGGACATTCATATCCTCCCACCTCCCCACCTTCTTGTCCTGGTGCTGTGCTGCCATCATGTAGCTTAAAGACTGGGATGGACACTGGCTCTCCTCCCCTACAATTTTGGGGCCTTCCTGCTGGAGCCACAGCACCATCTGCAGGACAGCCTTGTGGGGCTAGTGTGAGAGGGCGTGGCTTGTAGTAATGCACCTGGTCACCTCCTCGGGGACCACCCTCCAGAACAAAGCGCAGTATGTGTTGCTGTGGGCCTAGGGACCTGGGTTCCAGGCCTGGCTTTGCTATTTTTTTATAAGATCGGCAGATCAGATCTTGTGTGGAACTCCATCTTAAAGGTAATCTGCCATCATGACATCTGGGTGAACCTGGACCCTTGACCCCCTCCACTTTCCCCGGGTTAGCTCTGGAATATGTATGCACAGCTCTGGGCTGATCACAGGATCTTTAGTAGTTCTCTCTCTCAATATTATCTCGGCACCTGATCCTGTTGATTACCCACACATTTTCACTGCTGAGGAGATATAAGCACATGGTCTGGGGTGGGTGGAAGGTGTGGGGATCTGTTTTCTTGATGCCATACAGGACTGTGTTTCTGTACATAAGCTCCCTGTTAAATTCATTAACTGACAAACTGGACTCGTCTGCCTCGTTTTTTGTTCCTGGCTGCTTCGGTGTATGCGGGCTGCTTGCGTATATAGCCCTCTCCTGAAACAGATCTAAAGAGTGTCACAGGAAATCTGAATTTGTAGACAGTGCCCAATTCCATATCTTGGCTGCAGCAGGCATCTTGAGGTCACTGAGGGATCTTGGAATAAAAGCTTGTCATGGGAGGTCAGAAGCCTGCCTCTCACCAGTTAGGTGGGGTTGAATGGGTCTCCTTATCTGTATATGAGGGAGGGGGTTAGCCAACAAAGTGATCCTTAGACTGCCCTGTAAAGTCTTAAAGCCTAAGGAAGGGGTCTTGGAGATCATGTGGAGGAAAGTGAAACAGAGGGGCTCCTGGAGTGGAGGTGGGAGTTGCTGCACAAGAATTCATTAACAAAAGGTTCTGCAGCTTAAAATTCAAAGTTGCGAACCTCTGCATTAGATGGCTCATGCATTCATTCAATGCAGAGTCTTTACTGCACATCTACTAAGTGCCAAGTTCTTAGGTGTGGCAGTGAGCCAGTGAGAGCAACTGCCCTCTATTACTTGCCTGTAGCCTGTTCTTCTGATAATCCATGCCTCTCTCCCTCTTTCTCCCAGGTCAGAAGTTGAGTAGCTGGGGCCCCGGAGGGCTTGAAGCCTTTTCACAGTGATGGCGGAGAAGCGTCCACGGGGCACCCTGGGGCCTATGATGTACAGCAAGCTGCCCCGTCTAGAGGTCGACTCAGGACCCAGGCACAGCTTGGGCCCCTCTGCTGCTAACCAGGACCCCTGCAATTACAAGGGTGCCTACTTCTCCTGCTCCATGGGGGGTGTTCCCCAAACAGGGTCTGGACAGTTGGCCTCCTGGACCCCGTACCCAACCTTGTATCCTACCAGCGTAGCAGGACCCCCACTTCGGGAAGACAACCTGTTGACCAGTTGCCTGCTCTATCGCCCACCAGCAGGAAGCTCTGAGAAGGTGCAAGACTCTGGCCCTGTTGAGCTCCTGCCCTTTAGTCCCCAGACTCATTCCTACTCAGGCCCACCACTGGCGGCACCCAAACCTGTCTATCGCAGCCCTCTGTGTTATGGACTCTCAACTTGCCTGGGGGAAGGAGCAGCAAAGAGGTCACTGGATGTTGATTGGACACTGGTGACTGGGGCCCTATTACCCCCAGCCAACCCCCATTGTTCTCTGACTCTGGCTCCTGGCAAGGGCCAGTCCCTGGATGGTACCTTCTTACATGGGGTGCCAGTTGGGGGATCTGGCAAAGACTCCTCAGGGAGTTTTTCCCCTCGCCAGGCATTCCTGGACAAGTATCAGACCAGTCACAGCACAGGCTTCCTAGCCTCCAAGTATGCAGGTTCTTACTCTGGAGACCCCAAGCAGGGATTGTCCGAGGGACTCCCCAATCCTTGGACCCAGTTGGCTCAACCCCTCGGCCCAGCCTATCAGGATACAGTGCCCTCCCCCTACCCACTGCCCCATCCTCCACAGGCTCTGTCTTGCCCTCCAGCCTGTCACTATCCAGAGAAGCAGAGCAGCTACAGCTCAGTGCCCCCACCGCAACCTCTGGGAGCGCACAAGGGAGTTGGGTACCTAACTGGTGGGCTGAATAGCCCCTACCTGAGGCAGCAGACAGCCCAGACACCCTGTATGCCCCCAGTGGGGCCGGACATTTATTCCTACCCCTCTGTCCCCCTCCCAGTTCCCTCACCAGGCCTCAAGCTGGAGCCACCTCTCACTCCACGGTGCCCACTAGACTTTGCCTCCCAGACACCGGGCTTTCCTTATGCACGGGATGACCACTCTTTCTATGGAGCATCCCCGGGGCTCAGAGGGACATTGCCTTCCCAGAACAGTGTTCAGGCTATGCCACAGCCCAGTGCCTTCCAGCGAACATGCCAGCCTTTGCCTGCCAGTCAGCCGTGCCCAGAGCCTGTGAGGCCTGTAGAGAAGCCAGTGCAGGAAGCTGAGGAGACCATATGGCTGCCCAGCTGCAGGAAAGAACAGCTCAATGAGCACCCTGGGGCACCCATTGTTATCGGAGATAGTCCAGATCCCCGCACCCCACCAGCACTCCCCGCCTGTGGCCAAGAGCACCCATCTCTTCCACAGAACCAGGACACACTGCCCCCTGGCTCTCCACCCATGCCCATTATTGACAATGTCTTCAGCCTGGCCCCCTACCGTGACTATCTGGATGTGCAGACACCTGAGGCGACACCTGAGCCTGACCCAGCCCCCAAGGACAGCCATGACAAAGACTCCAGGGGAACCTTGTCTACCCAGGAGGCCCCTTTGGGGGTGCATTGCCCACTTAGGGAAGAAGTAGCACTGGACTTGAGTGTGAAGAAGCCCATGACAGAGCCTCTTCCTATCAAGGTCCCTAGTCCTAGGGTGCACTCCAAGCTCCCTGTAGCTGTGGGTGTGTCAGGTGTGGGGAACACAGTCTCCAAGCCCCCTGGGGTGTCAACGACCACAGAGACCACCCCAAAAACCAACTTCCACAGTTCCGTGGCCTTCATGTTCCGAAAATTCAAGATCCTCCGGCCGGCACCCTTGTCTGCAACCATGGTCCCATCTGTGCCCACCTCGGTCCCTGCCTCTGACCAGCCTGCACCCACCTCTACATCTGTGCCCACTGGACTACAGATTCTCAAACAGCCCTTGCCCGTGGCCTGCTTTGACCTGGCACTGTCCAGTCTTCCAGGTATATCTGTGGTCGGCCCAGCACCTACTCTGTCTCCATCACCTGCTCCAGCTCGGGCCCCGACTCCAGCTACTTCCCCTGTCACAGTGGATTCCCCAGAGCAACACTTTGCAGGACTGCATGAGTCTCTGTGTGATGCCATCTCAGGCTCAGTGGCTCACTCCCCACCCGAGAAGCTGCGTGAATGGCTTGAGATGGCTGGGCCTTGGGGCCGGGCAGCATGGCAGGATGGGCAGGCTGTGCAGGGGCTGTTGGGCAAGCTGCTCTCCCAGTTGCAGCGCTTTGTGTGCACGCAGCAGTGCCCCTTCCCCCACGTGGTGCGGGCCGGCGCCATCTTCGTGCCCATCCACCTGGTGAAGGAGCGGCTCTTCCCGGGGCTGCCGCCCGCCTCTGTGGACCACGTGCTACAGGAGCACCGCGTGGAGCTCCGGCCCACCACACTGTCGGAGGAGAGGGCGCTGCGGGAGCGAGCCCTGCGCGGCTGCACCTCACGCATGCTGAAGTTGCTGGCACTGCGCCAGCTGCCTGAAATATACCCTGACCTGCTGGGTCTGCAGTGGCACAACTGTGTACGCCGCCAGTTGGGTGAGCATGGGGCAGCCCCAATTGCCACCGGAGCTGTGTGCGCGAGTGACAGGTGTGTGGGCGCTCACAGCCAGGGGTTTAGGGGTTCCTGGGCCTCTGGAAAGGCTGGGGAGGCCCTAGAACCTGGGCCAGAGGGGAGTGGCTAGTCTTCCAGGGTGGGCTCTATGACCCCCACCCCCATTCTTCATCCCCAGCATCAATGAGAGCCTTCATAGGCTCCTCTATAAGCCTCTGGACACACCAGTTACTCTGCATGGAAATGCTTTCTTGGCCATCCTGGTACTGTGCCCCTCTGGATCCACCCTCCTCTGCTGTGCCTTCTCTGCCTTTGCTGCAGGCTTCTCTGGAGCTCTGCCCAGGCCCTGTTTGTTATCTGAAGTCATTTCCCTATGTCTGTCCTGCGCAGCCTCCCCTCTTCTGAGCTCCTTCCCTAAATAACCCACTGCATGCTGGACTTCTGGACTTGGTGACTCTCTGACCCTTAACTCCTCCCCAGCCACACTCATGAGCTTTCTCCTAAGCTCATTTCACACAGGGAACAGCACTTTCACTCATCCAATGCCTCATTCCTGAAACCCAGCAGGGACTCACCTCCCCCCCAATACTGTGGTCTTCTGAATGTACAGTTTTCAGTCTTTCCAGGTGTGTGCATTCATGGAAGTGTCCCAATAAGTTGGAACCTTGTTTTGCAGTTTGCTTTTCCCAACTAACTTATGCACACTGCCCACCAGCGTGCTCTCTTCATTCTGGAGCGTTATCTGATCAGTTCAGGTAGCTAGACCTCACCCTTGGGGACTTCTGCATGTCGCATGGTATGTACCTACTCACTCTGCCACGACTTCGGTGATGGTGCCCAGTGGTGTCTGTTGCTGCCTCTCCTACCCCAGGAGTTCTGGCATCGAGGCCTGCTCTGTCCTTGCTCCCCTGCCTTCTCACTGCCAAGCCGCTATGTGAGCTGTGTCTCCTTAGAACTGTTTCTTGCCCCCTCCCTGGCCTGGCAGCCTTGCCCTGGGCTCCTACCTGGTCCAGGCTCCAGGTCGGGTGGAGAAGGGGCTGAGGCCATAAGGGGCAGATGTGGAGCTTGGCGCCTGGGTGATAAGCATGGTTGGCCCCTCAGCACTTAAGAAACTGGGGCATTGGACCTAATGGAGCACAAAGAATGTTAGTGGGAGCTTTCTATTCAGAGAGAGTGTGGGAGGGTGTCAGCATCATGTGAGGCTACCCAACACCACCTCCCTGTGCAGGTGGGCTATCTGGGGCCCAGAGACAGGTTTATTTTTCCTGGGCTGTCTGCTGGAGGGTTGGGCTCAGCCACTTCACAGTCCCCTCCTGCTCTGACTGGTGTGCAAGAGTCTGGAACCTCGTGAGAGAATGACTGCGGCCCAGTTTCCTGTGGTTAGCTAGCTTTTAGTGCCCCTGTCCCCATGCCTTCCTTCCCTGAACTTTGGGTCCTTCCCCCCCATCTTTGGGGTGCCAGTCTTCTGTGGTGTCCTTAAGATAATGCTCCCCTAGCAGCCTCTCTTCAAGCAGGTGTGCTGTTGGTCAGGAGCCCCTTCCCATGCCCTCCACTGCTCCCTTCACCCCCTTCCCTCTGGGCATTGCTTTCAGGGCAGTCCCTGCCTGAGCTTGAGCTCCTGCTCTGGTGGCAGAAAAATGATGGCACTCTGTGCAGCCCAGCCCTCTGTCAGGCCCCTTTCCTCTTGTCCTTGCACCCAAACAGCTTCTTCTGAGTAGTGCTCTCATCAGGTAGAGCTCTGGCGTTACCTAGGGAGAAGCACGCCTTTGGCTTAATGGTCTGGCCAGCAGGCACATGCAGGGAAGAAGGGTCATGATTTCTTTGGCCCTGCTGGGGCTGTCCTAGCCTGGGACACAGTGGGGTCACTAGTCTAGATGGCTTTGGAGGACAGAAGATAGGACATGAGGGTGTTGGTGTCTGTAGCATGACTCTGTGTTTATTTTCCAGGTGACTTTAATACTGAGGCTGGATTTGTGCCCTCCTCAGAAGCCATCATGGCCAGAGATGAGCCAGAGAGCCTATGCCTGGCTCAGAAATCACCCATCCCCAAGGCCAGGAAGCCGGGAAGGAAGCTACCGACTCCTGGCCGGGAGAAAGCAGAGGCAACTGCTGGGGGAGGGTCGTGCGCCTCACCTGCCCCCTATGCCAGCACCAGCCCCACAGTGAGGGCTCACTGCCGAAGCCTGCTGGAAACTGCCTGGCTTACTGGCCTGGCCCTTCCCACTTGGGGCCACAAGGCCTCAGGAGCAGCCCTGCCCTCGCCCTGCCCACAGCTGTTGGGTGGCCAGAGCCATCACCTGTAGCTCTGGTGGCTGGTGCTGTTTGGATAGCTACTGTCTGGTAATCACCAGGACTGGACAAGCCCTTGGAGCTTCTCTAGTTCTTACCCTGCCCTCCTCCCTAAGCTGGGCTGAGAGTCCCTGAGCTTTTGGCTTGAGGTCCTTTATTAGAAAGGACATGTGGGCTTGGGAGCTCCACCAGCTTGGGCTCGGATCTGGCTCCTCTGTTTCTTGCTGTGTAACTGAGCAAGTCACTTCCTCTCAGGCGCCCTTATTTACCCATTTGTAAAACAGGACAGTGCAGCCTACCTCACAGGTGTGGGGGGATGCCTGACACACCAGTTATGGTTTGCTCTGCTCCCTCCACAGGACAGGGGCCCAGATCCCAGCCAGTGCCTGGAGTTTGAGGCTGAGGCAAACAACCTTCCTCCAGAAAGTCTTACTGTCATAGAACTTGGTTATCTTGGAGTGAAACGGTGTACATGACGCCCAGAGTTTCTAGAGTCATCCCCCAGGAACACTTGGGGGTAGCCCCAGTGTTTGGGGTGTGGCCCTAAAACACAGCCTGTAACTCCCTGAGGGAGCCTGGGGCTGGCATCTTTGTTCTGGGCCTGCTGCTCTTACCCCTGGGAGGTCCCAGGCCTGTCCTAAATTGACAGCAGTGGCTTCCCTGAGCTACCAGCCTCTCCCAGTGTATTATCCCAAGGAAATTGTGTGTTTGCTAGAAGCCAAGCAGCTGCAGGGACTAGAAAGGGCAGGCTGGGTGACAGACAGCTCAGTCCTGGAAGATCTCTGAAGATGTGGACCAACGACCTGGAGCCCCATCAGCCAGGCCTACTGTGGGTTACTGCCTTGAGCCCAGAGGCTGGCACGCTGGACCCTTGGCCTAGTTAGGGTTTGTAATAAGGCTGTGGTCCCTGGAGGCAGGCCGTAAACATTAAAGCATTTGGGTTGTTTTGGATCTGGGACCTGGCTGGCTGTGTGTTTGGGGGTTGTAGGTTTAGTATGTCATCACCAGGTGCTTAGCCCTTCACTGAAGGGCTGCAGCTGTCCCTGCTCCCAGCCCAGAAGGCTCTCCAGTAACCTTGTCCCAGCTAGCTCTGGCCGTGTGGGCCCTTGTCACAAACTCACTGGGCAGCCACTTCCCTGCTCAGGAAAGGCCCCTGAGACCCTTCTAGGTTCTGGTGGTTGCTGGTCTATAGTCCACTGTCCTGTGAGAAATGCTGGTCACCAGACCCCAGCACACATCCCTCAGGACCAAGGATGTACCCACCAAGGTCTAAGAGCAGAACTGTTCTCCACTCCATGCTGGTGATTTAGCCTGTTGAGGGGCAGCCCCTCCCACGCTTTTTTTTCCTCGCAGAGGATATTTTTTCTATTGATTTTTTAGAGTGGAAGGAGAAAACATCCATGTGAGAGGCACGTCCATTGGTTGCTTCCCGCATGGGCCTGATGGGGGGGGTGGGGATCGAACCTGCAACCCAGCCATGTGGCCTTGACTGGTAATTGAACCCTCTACCCTCCAGTGTGCAGGTTGATGGTCTAACCACTGAGCACACCAGCCAGGGCCCCTCTCACCCTAGTGGGCTCTATTTCCACAGAGGTTCTCAGAGTTGCTGAGGTGGCTTCCTGGGTGTGGTTTCCACTCCAGCTGCTCCAGGACCAGGCCACTAGGGCAGGTCAGACCTGCCCAGGATTGACCCTCACTTTGTGGGTTTCACTGAGCTGTTATACCATTCTTCCTGTACACAAACTATATTGTGGCTCCTACAGCTAGAGCCTGGTCTTGTACTGGACGAGGTTTGGAGTGGCAGCACTCACCGGCAGTAATGGACGGGCTGGAAGATAGGCAACTCCAACACTGGTCACCACAGTGACAACCTGGGGGAAGGATGCTGTGGAAGCGCAGGAGGGGCATGTGCTAGTCTGGGGATGAGACGTTATCATGGGCCCCAGAAGAGTTGCTGCCTAAATTGGGCCTTGAAGACCAGCAGGACAAGGTGGGTAAAAGGTGTGAAGTGCAGTGTGAGTTGAACAGCATGTACAGAGGCTTAGAGGAGTGTTTGGGAAAGAAAAATATTGTAAGTCGGGTACAGGAAACTCAACAGGAGGGTTGGGGACAGAAAACATGGTTCCAGCTTGTTGCACATGAACTCATTCATTCCTGGAACGTGGAGAGTGGGGTGGGGGCGGAGGAGACCATGTCTACAGAAAACTCAAGTGTAGAGAGAATGTGGCTACTTGCATAGGAGGAAAAGGGGTTGTGACACGTGGAATTGCTCTGAACCCCCAGGCTAAGGACAGCCTCACCCACCTCACTGCCAGGGCCTTGCTGGATTTGGCTATTCCCTGGCTCTTTTCCTTCCTTTTTCCTCCCTTCCTCCCTCACACTTCTTTGCACACCTATTGTGCCCCTGCTCCATGACAGGCATACTTCTTGCTAATATTGCCATGGTTATAGGCAGAGTCTGAGGCCTCTGCATAGCAGGGCTGCTCAGCACCCACACCCATCTGTTCACTGTGCCCTAGAGAACCATAATGGTGCAGAACCTGGGTGAGAGTCGTGTAGAGCTGCATATGGTGGGGAGAGGTGACTGCTCCCCATGGCAAACTGTCCTGGGAGCCCCATTCTGCAGGAGAGATGACAGTGTCCGAGGATCCCCAGCCCGAGGTGGGGCAGGAACAGAGCTGCCCAAGATTTCTGCGTGAGGGAGGCGGTGCTACCAGCCCTCACAGTTTTCACAAAGCCTGTTCCATTCTTCGGTAAGAGTGTTGATGGCAAGGAAGGTGTGTGTGTAGGGAGCGAGGTGTGCTGGTAACCCCACCCCTCAAGTAAAGGAATAGGGCCCACTCAGCCTTGGTTGACTGTGGCTTTCTGGCCCCACAGCTCCCCCTGTAATCATCCAAGGCTTCTGGGCAGGGTTGCACCCAAGCAGGATTTCTCAAACAAAATAACCTGGGAAATGGTTTCCAGGGCCCCATCGAGAACTAGCTTAGGCAGAGCCCAGGAATCTGGGTTGTAATCAAACTGCTGAAGTGATCCTGAGATGTTTAGGGACCATATTTTGAGCAACACAGACCATCCCCACTAGGTTACAGATGGGGAAGCAGAGGCCCAGGAACTTGCTGACGGTCACATCAAGTAAGAGGCTGTGTCAGGACCTGAGCCATTCCTGAGGGCCCTGTGCCAGTGGGAGGCCAGGACCTGAAATGCCTGCACCTGGCTCAGCTCTACCTCTGTTGCCTCACCCAGACCTGCCCTGGCTGGGCTTGCTCTCTGCCTCAGGTGACCTTGCTAAGCAACTCATGGGTCTCTTGCCCTGATTTAATCAGGAGGGTGGTGCTCAAGGCTCCAGCTTGAGTGAGGCTCTGCCTCCTGGCTGCCCCACTTGTCACCATGGCTCAGTAAAAAGGTTGAGGGGCCCAACCAGCTAGCTTTGTGCCAGGAGTTAGGCCTGAAAGGTGAGTGAGAAGACAGCTCTAGAAGGAAGAGGAGAGCAGGGCTATGTCTGCGGGTGATTATCAGCACCTTTGATAACCTCCAGGTGCTTCCTGTCCTGCCTTGTTCTCATTGAGGGGTTGAGGTGAATGGGCTGGGTGTCCCTCAACTCCCTCGGGAATCGAGCAGGGCCCAACTCTGACCTCACTGACTGTGCCTCTCCTGACCCCACAGCCCCCTGATAAGACAAGTGGTGCCTCTAGCCCAGGGGTCCTCAAACTACGGCCCGCGGGCCACATGCAAATACAAATATTGTATTTGTTCCCGTTTTTACTTCAAAATAAGATATGTTCAGTGTGCATAGGAATTTGTTCATAGTTTTTTTTTAAACTATAGTCCTGCCCTCCAACGGTCTGAGGGGCTGTGAACTGGCCCCCTGTTCAAAAAGTTTGAGGACCCCTGCTCTAGCCCATGGGGCAGCCTTCCAGCCCAGTCTAATGCCCCTGAGGCCTGGGCTCCCTCAACTGGGTACTTCTTCAGTAAGTGTGGGTATGAGGGAAGCTGTGGGCACACTACAGCCTGTGGCCTGGGCCCTGCTTCTGCCCTCTATTCTCCAGGCCATGTCTGTAGCAGTTCCCTCAGTCCCCACCCTAAAGGGGAGCATCCAGCCCAACCTCGGGCCCCAGAGCAGAGAAAGTCGTTGCAGAGCTCCTGTTTTCTCCTTGTCTGGAAGCAGTCCTGGACTGGACTAGGGCGGCAGGCAGATGGGGAGCTCAACGGGCACACTGCCATCTCTGTAGGGACACCAGCCCTGAGTGTTCTGGCCACTGTTCCCTCGAAGGCTCCTGCCTCAGTGGAGGTATCCACCCCATCTGACGCCCCAGCGTTAGCCTAGTCTGGTCACTGTGCCTCCAGGACCCCTGCCTCTATCCTAGAGGGACCCAGTTCTCAAGCTCCAAAATCTTCTCCGGGCAGTGAGACGGGGGTAGGTAGGCTCCTGGGAAGGCCGTGTTGAGCCCTTGATTCCCTTGGAAAGACCTTAAGCAGCCACTCTTATGATTACCAGGCTGCCCTCAGGGGCCAGGGCACAGCGAAGCTTGCTTCAAGGGCTCCATCCTCTGCCTCATCAGCTGTTCTCCAGAGGCTGCCCGTGTCCTTTCCACTGCGTCTTTGTCGTCGGAGCTGCAAGCTCAAGTTGGGCCTCGAGAAAGACCACGTCATGTGACTTCCCTGGCAGGGCACCTTTCCCCACCTTGGGAACAGCTCATTCCAAGGTGCGGAAGTGGTGGTCTCACTAGACTTATTGAGGGTCTTACTAAATTTATCGGCAGTTTCTAGAAAATTCTTGAAAAACCTTAAAAGTGTGGTTTTGAACTCTATATCCAGTATTTTGCTTTCCTCCATTTCTGTCATTTGTGACCTGTTTCTTTGTCTCCGCATTTTTTATGCTTCCCTGTGTTGATAGAGTGGCTTTCTGTGCTAGGTGTCCTATAGGGCCCAGTGGTTCAGCCTCCCCAATTACCGGAGGTGGACACTCTTGGTGCACCCCTTTGTGGGCTTTGTGCACAGTCTTGTAGTCAAGCCTTGACTGTTGTAGGTATCACTGGGAGGAATTGACCTCCAGGCCAATTGGCTGTGAGAATCAGCTGTGTCTACGGTGGGAGAACTTCTGTGCTGAAGACACCCTTATGAGGCAAGACTTGCTTCATTGAGGCTTTGGTGCTCACTGAGTCTGCCCCCTGAGTGTGTCCCTTATGGATCTGAGGAGTTGTAATTGGATGGTCCCACTCTGACCACTGGGTACACTGGCTCTTGGATCTCTAAGGAGGTGCTAATTTAGCCTCTGCCTGAGGCTACCCAGCAGGAGCCCAGCTGTGAAGCAATGCAAGCTGTTGTGGGGTCTTGGGCCTTCTTTTGGAAGTTCTGGGTCTCTCTGACCCAGCTGCAGTTTGTTAGGTAATTTTCAGATTGCCAAGGGCCAGGCCTTTCATATGCAAAAGCCTCTGCGCACAGCTTGGGTGGGGCGGGGTCTCAGGGGATCAACAGGGCGGAGGAAGCAGCTATGGCTGCTCCTCAGTCCTGCCCTAAGAGGCCCCGCTTCTCAGTGTCCCAGTAATCGCTGCAAGCACCTCTGAGAGAAAGCCGCCCTCAAGTTCCAACCGATGCCAGACAGTCCAGTTTCTCCCATATGAGTCTGGGTCCCCAGAGACTCACCCAGAACTGGAGTTCAGAGCAGTCGGGAGCTTGAGACTCCCTCCCGATTGAAAAAGACAACCGTGTCCTCAGTTTCCAGCCCTTTCCATGTGCGCCGCGTCCTCAGCTGCCAGCCCTTTCGGCGTGCGCCTCCGTACCTCTGCACTTTACTTCCGCACCTCCTCTGAGTGTGCTTTTCTTTTTCCTTCTAGTTGTAGAATTTCCACTCAGCCAGGCTTCCTGTGTTTCTGGATGATGTTCGTTTTGTCTTTTAGTTGTATTTTTGAAGTGGTTGTGCGAGGCAGCAATTTCCAGTGTTTACCTATGCCGCCAT